TTTCAGCATTTATATGTTAAATTTAATATTTTAAATATTTCATATCAAATTAAATAATAATTTTAAGGCTATATTTCTATCAAGCATTTCATAAGTATGAAGAAGTAATGTCCTGCCTTGGAACTGAGTCTCCCTTTTCAGTTGACTGACAGGCAGAAACCAGCTTGTGGTTGTGTCATTTGAAATGGGGAATTGTGTGCACATTTCACTCTTATCTGTCATACTCATGTTTTGTGGACGATGACAGTGTACAATAGTGGTTGTGGATAATAATCAGCTCTGAAAGGCTCTCTACAATTGCTTTGACATTTTTACTGATAATTGTATTTGTAAATATGAGAGTCTGAAGGCCTATAGGTTTTGAGAGCACATGCTGCATACATATACTGTATCTCTTTGGTCACTGTAACTGTCCCTTGTATGAATTTTGTTTACGGTATCTTACATACTGGTGTGGACAAAATTGTTGATACCCCGCCGGCAATGAAAGAAAAATCAACATCGTCACTGAAATAACTTTAAACTGATAAATGCTATAATAAATAAAAAAAAAATACTGAAAATTGTCCAACAAAAATCAAACATTGCTTTTTACCTGTGGTTAAACAGAATCATTAAAAAAACAAAATAATGAAACTGTCCTGGGCAAAAATGATGGTACCCTGAACTTAATATTTTGTTACACAAACTTTAGAGGCAAACACTGCAATCAAACAATTTCTGTAACTGTCAATGAGACTTCTGAACTGGTCAACAGGTATTTTGACCCACTTCTCATGAACAAACTGCCTGAGTTGTCTCAGGTTTGAAGGATGCCTTCTCCAGACAGCATGTTTCAGGTCATTTCACAGATGTTCAATAGAATTTAGATCTGGACTCACAGACCACTGCAGAACAGTCCAATGTTTTGTTCTTAACCATTCTTGGGTGTTTTTAGCTGTATGTTTTATGTATCCTGTTGGAAGCCCCATGTCCTATGTCTGAGACACTGAGAAGCTTTCTGACACTAGGCAACACATTTTGTTCCAAAAAACCTTGTCTTGAGATTTTGTTGTATTTTGTGCAGATTCAAGACACCCTGTGCCAGATGCAGCAAAACAGCCCCAGAACATAACCAAGCCTCTTCCATGCTTCACAGTAGGGACAGTGTTCTTTTCTTGGTGTGCTTCATTTTTGCATCTATGGACATAGAGCTGATGTGTCTTGCCAAAGAGCTCCAGTTTTGTCTCATCTGGCCAAAAGACATTCTCTCAGGAGCTTTGTGACTTGTTAATATGCTTTGTGGCATATTCCAGTCTTACTTTTTTATGATTTACTTTCAACAGTGGTGTCCTCACATGAAGTCCACTTCGGCTCAAACTGTGATGGATGGTGCGATCTGACACTGATGTACCTTGCCCTTCAAGTTCATATTTAATTTCTTTGGAGGTTGTTCTGGGCTCTTTGGTTACCATTTGTATTATCCATCTCTTAAATTTGTCATAAATTTTCCTTTTGCGGCCACGTCCAGGGAGGTTGGCTACAGTCCTGTGGACCTTAAACGTCTGAATAACATGTGCAACTGTAATCACAGGAACATCAAACTGAGAGATGATCTTATTGTCTTTATCTTTAACCTGCTTATCTGTCATTTTCTTTCTAGTCTCCTGACACAGTTCTCTTCTTCTCTTTCTCTGGTCTGTGTTCAGTGTTGTCTTAATCATGTCTCCAAACAGCACAACGACACATGTCACCTTTTAAACAGGCAGATGGACTGAGGACAAGTTTGAAGACACCTGTGATGCCAATTAGAGGACACACCTAAGTTTGAGATGTCCCAATTGTCCAGTTACTTACAATCTTTCCTAGGGGTACCATAATTTTTGTCCAGGCCAGTTTCATTAGTTTGTTAGAAATTATTCTATTGAACAACAATTTTCATTGGTTATTTTTCAGTAAATTTTTATTTATTATTGCTTCAAGTTAGTTCAGTGACCATTGTTGATTTTTCTCTCCTTACCAGAGAGGTACCAACAATTTTGTCCACTTCTGTATGTTGATAGTTTTGTTGCATGTGGTCTGTGCTGTTTAGAACTGCTGCATCATGACGCTGACTCTTCTGGATGAGTTTCAAAAGCCGTTCTGGTGTGTTAGCGCTCCCATTACCATCACCAGGTCCAAAAGACCCCTCTCCTTCGACTACAGCGGGGACCACTTCTTTATGGACTTTCATCATCCAGAAGGCCAAGTTAAGATGAAGCTGGTGTGGCTGCACGAGGAGAAGCAGTTCTTTCTCATCGATTTGATCCTTTTGGTTGCCATTCATAAGGTCAACAAATATTTCTGCACAAATTACTAAGGCAAATGTGCAAATGTGTGAAAGGTTGGGATGGTAGTCATCATTAACACAGTGACTAAAATGACTAATTTGTTTCAATCTAAATATTTTGTGTATTCTAATAATAAGACATGTTTACCTATGATATTTTTGAGTATCAGCATTAATGGAATGAGTGCTATAAGAAAAGAATATGATGTACAATTTTGTTTGACTGTATTTGTTCTACTTAAGTAATTCAACTGTAATTTATGTGTTTCCTTTTTAATGGGCTTTGTTTCCTGCCTTTTCTTGTTTCTTATCTATAATGAATAAATGGTTGTGTTACCTTTTGTTTTAGACTTAAGTAATTGTTTAATATTGTGGGTTGCTGATATATATGACATTGTTTATTGGTCTGAAACACACTAAATCCTCTTAAATTTTATGAATATTTATTTTTTTCTGATTTGGCTTATATTTTTCCAATTTGAACCTCTGTTTACCTGAAATTCTGCATTTATCTGTCACAATAACCAAATGTAAGGTGGATTCAGTAACTAGTTTGCCCATTTTAAAGCCCAGCCCATCAATGGAAAGGTAGTATCCAGGGGCGGACCCAGTGTTAGTAAGTGCTAGAGGGAGGGCCTGGCCGATCTGTGTGTATCATTTCTGCAGTTTTACATGGGAGAGTAGGAAGCAAGTTCCAACAAGAAGGTCCAAAAAGAGTCCTTTGGTAATTACAAGACAATGGCAGTGAACAAATGTTTGAAGTATCTCTTCTTTCTGTTCAACCTTCTTTTCTGGGTGAGTGAATGTTATATTATTTAACATGTTTTGATCATATTTCCTATGACATTCAAGTTATTCTAGCTTCCAGTGACTTATTACATGCTTGAAAATATATTTTTCTCTTAATGCACAAGTATATCCTTTACAGTTTTGCATTTCAGTGTTTTTCTTTTCATTTTAGATTTACAGCCACTGCAATCACTTCCTCTGATAAATATACTTGAATATATATATATATATATATATATATATTTTTTTTTTTTTTTAACTTTACTCTCTAACTTAGAAGGTGTTGTGCCACATTGAGATCAGTTTCTAAACCAACTTTTTGTTGTGTGGATATACTTGCTTTATTGTCCTCCTCTCTTATCATAGACAGAGAACCAGTTCTGGCTCATTCCTCCCTCCCAAAAGCAAACTTAGTTCATAGTTTCAGGGTGTGGATTCTTTGCACCTACATTACAGTAGTCATGTTTGGAGTGGTTATATCTCAATCTCAGTCAGTATTTAAATGTTGAAATATTTGTCCAGTGGAAAATTTGAGTTATGCCATTGCTTGTCTCTCTTCTTTGTTGCTACTGAAATAAAGTCTTCAAAAACATGGCAGTTATTTGTTTTGCCAAAAGTGCAGAAATAAATCAAAACATATGCAATGGCACACAAAATATTTTGCAGATCTTGCAATGTGTATCTTAACGGGTGAGCACAATTAAAAACAAGATTCTACTACTAATTTGTTGCAAACTCATGTATTATTTTTACCAGTCCTAAACATGGATAAATAGCTCAGCTAAAGCCAAATCCATATTGGAAATTGGTTTAGAATGATTGTGCGTGCTGTAATAACCACAATATGTCATGAAACGGAAATGAAAGAAAAAGCTGTCTGTTTTTTTTTTTTTTCAAAATAAAGTTCAGTCAGTGATAACCACATTGTTGGCGCTGTAGGAATGGCCTGCTTGTGTATTTATAGCTAAGCTCCTATTTGTTGTACACACCTGAAAGTTACAAAAATATTCAAAAGACAACAAAATACAACCAGTTGACAAATGCGAGAATGAGCTGTAAAGGTTTTGGTGATAATAATAGGGCATATTTGTTGCGCAAGTGAGTCATGAGGCCTGACCACTAAATTTTCCTGTTTTGTCATTCAGAACAATAGCTGGTCATCATTTCTAGTACTGTGTGTTGTTATCCTATGAGTGGGTGTAAACCATATTTTGAGTCAGAGAGCCATCAAATAATCTTGTCTTTTGCATCAACGTTTTGTTCAAGCATGAGTAGATTGATTTTCTTTACCAGTAAAACTATAATAGCAAAACAGCATCATATCATTGTCTGCTTGTAAGAACACAAGGGAGTTAGACCGTGTGCCGTTTTGCTATGCTGCTCTGCGAGTTTGAGCTTGACTAAACCTAGTACTATGTTGACTATTAACTTAGAAGTATGATAATATTGCAATTGTATTCAAAGGCGTTCACAGTGATTCTTTTGACATTACGTTAACTTTGACTTTGCCTTTGTTTTGGCAACCTTGTCTATGTCCCCAGGCTACGGACTTGTGCAATATATTGGTAAATGCTGCACAGTTCAAAAGAATATACCAGTAAGCAGTATCAAACAATGTTTTAATATAAACAATTAGCAAATGCCATTCAGAAATATTGATAACTCAAGGCTTGCACCTTTTCGAAAATCAACTATTAGCTCTAGCATAGACTTACGTATGTAGCCGTGGCACTTTTTAGGGAATGCAATAATAATAATATTAATAAATATATAAATAAATAAATTTTATATATATATATATACATATACATATATAGGCAAGGCAAGGCAAGTTTATTTGTATAGCACAATTCGTACACAAAGTAATTCAAAGTGCTTTACAGAATAAGAAATACATTAAAATCATAATAAAAACAAATCAAAACATAAATAATCATGAAGATTAAAATTAAAAAAGAGAGAAGAGTGCGGAATGAAAACCTTTCAGTTATATGCACAGTTAAACAGAAATGTTTTGAGCCTGGATTTAAACAGCGTCACAGAAGAGTCTGTCTCACATGTTCAGGAAGACTGTTCCAGGTTTTAGCTGCATGAACCTGAAACGCTGACTCCCTTTGTTTAGTTCTGACTCTGGGCACCAGCAGGAGGCCGGTCCCTGAGGTCCTCAGAGTGCGAGATGGTTCATATGACACTAACATGTCACAGATGTACTTTGGTGCTCGGCCATGGAGAGACTTGTACACAAGCAGAGCTGCTTTAAAGTCTATTCTCTGAGGCACAGGAAGCCAGTGCAGAGACCTGAGCACAGGACTTATGTGCTCGTACTTCCTAGTTCGAGTAAGGACCCGAGCTGCAGCATTCTGGATGTTCTGCAGCTGTCTCACAGCTCGTTTGGAGAGACCAGTGAGCAGACCATTACAGTAGTCTAACCTACTGGAGACAAACGCATGGATAAGTTTCTCCAAGTCTGATTTAGACAGTAAACCTTTGATTTTTGCTATGTTTTTTAGATGGTAAAAGGCTGCAGATGTTATTGATTTTATGTGACTGTTAAAGTTCAAGTCTGAGTCCATTATTACCCCTAGATTTCTTGCCTGATTTGAAGGTTTTAGAGCGAGAGACTGGAGGTGACTGCTGACACTGTCCCTTTGTTTCTGTGGACCAAACACTATGACTTCAGTCTTGTCAGAGTTTAGCTGGAGAAAGTTGTTTTGCATCCACACACTGATCTGTTGGATGCAGTGACAAAGTGAGTCCACTGGTCCATAGTCTCCTGCTGCCAGAGAGACGTAGATCTGAGTGTCATCTGCATAATTGTGGTACAACACGTTATTGCTGCTTATTAACTGGCCTAATGGCAGCATGTAGAGATTGAACAACAGGGGGCCCAGGATTGACCCCTGAGGCACCCCACAGGTCAGGGCCATGTCATCTGAGACACACAGTTTCCAATTTCAACAAAATACTTCCTGTCTTCTAGATAGGACTTGAACCAGTTTAGTACAGTACCAGAAATGCCCACCCAGTCCTCTAGTCTCTGTAAGAGGATCCCATGATCGACAGTGTCAAAAGCAGCACTCAGATCTAACAGGATCAAGACTGAGACTTTGCCTGCATCAGTGTTCAGGCGGATGTCATTTGTCACCTTGATAAGAGCAGTCTCAGTGCTGTGGTGGGCTCTAAAACCTGACTGGAAAACATCAAAGGAGTTGTTCATTTGGAGAAAGTTCGTAAGCTGTTGGTAAACAGCTTTTTCAAGGACTTTGCCAAAAAACGGCAGATTTGAGATGGGTCGGAAATTGTTCAGTACTGTGGCATCAAGACTGCTCTTCTTTAGGAGAGGCTTAATGACCGCAGTTTTCAACGCGTTTGGGAATGTTCCAGATTGAAGTGACATGTTAACTATGTGAGTGAGTGGTGAAAGTAAACTGTTGAGGACGGACTTTAGAAATCTAGTGGGTAACATGTCCAGGCAGCAAGTAGATGAACTCAGACTGGTAACGATCTCTAAAACAGTTTTGTCAGTTACAGGTGCAAAGTGATTCAGCTCTAAGTGTCTCTGTGGCTGCATGCTTATTATTTGTGTTGTGGAATTGATGGCATTTTTTGATGCCCTGAACTTTGTCATTAAAGAAAACTGCAAACTCATTACATTTAGATGTGGAAATCAGTTCTAGTGGCAGTGGAGCTGGAGGGTTTGTTAATCTGTTCACTGTTGCAAACAGGACACGAGAGTTGTTACTGCAATTACCAATAATGTCCGAAAAATACTTCTCTCTTGTTTTACTCAAAGTGTAGTTGTACATATGCATTGTTCCTCTGTAAATCTCATAATGAACCTGGAGGTTTGACTTGCGCCATTTCCGCTAAGCCTTCCGACACTCCCTTTTCTGTGCTCTGACTGAGTCATCATTCCTCCACGGAGCTTTTTGCCTATCGTTAACCACTTTAACCTTTATCAGAGCAATGGCATCCAGAACATTCAAAACACTCAAAGTCACAGAGTTCAACACATCATCAACATTAGAACATGAGGCAATTTCAAAATGTATCATTTCCATGAACAGTGCACCTGTGTTATCATTTATGTGTCTTCTTCGAACAACTGTAGGAGCAGCCAGTGGTTTGGGAATAACAGACAGGTCAAAGAAGACACAGAAATGATCAGACAGAGCAACATCAACCACATTGACATTTGAAATATTTACACCCTTTGTAATGAGCAGGTCCAGAGTGTGCCCTCTGTTGTGAGTGGGCTCACTGACATGCTGAGTCAGACCAAAAGTTTCAAGGACAACACTAAGCTCTTTGGCATTTTTGTCACACACATTATCCACATGTACATTAAAATCACCTGTAATGACTAAACCATCAAAGTCTGTGCAAACAACTGAAAGCATCTCAGTAAAATCATCAATAAAACTTTGACAGTGCTGAGGAGGTTTGTATATGACTATGTAGAGTATGGACGGTGATTGTTTTAGCTCCATTTTGAAGGAAACATACTCAAATGATGAAAAACACCCCAAATGACAACCTGTGTGTAACCAAATGATCTCTAAAAAATGCACACACTCCTCCACCCTTTTTATTTGCTCGTGTTTCAGATTCAAATTTGAAGTTGGGAGGGGTTGATTCCACTAGCACTGCATGACCTGTGTTTTTGTCAAGCCATGTTTCAGTTAAAAACATAAAGTCAAGATTAAAAGAAGAAATAAAATCATGAATTAGAAATGATTTGTTACATAAAGATCTGACATTGAGCACAGCAAGTTTCTGATTAGTTTCAGTAGGACTGGATGTTATCTTCTTACAGGGAACGTGAACTAAATTTCTCTGATTAGACAGTCTAACTGTCCTTCTTTTAATCTGTCTGGGTGTTGTAACTGGAGATATAGCTCCATCGCAGGGCCCCAGCCTGATATTACCTTTATCATGACTGTATGTCCTGGGACAGCAGAGGCCCTATGTGTCCTAGCTCTTATGTGTATTCATGCGCTCCTATACACATATATATATATCTATATACACATATATATACATACATAATATATATATACACACACACACACATATATATAACACACACACACACATATATATATATATATCATATATATATATATATATATATATATATATATATATATATATATATATATATATATATATATATAAAAACACCCAAAGCGCTTTGCAGAGCATTATTCATTCACTCATTCACCACTTTAATACATACATTTAAGGTTAAGGTAGATTAAGGTAGTCTTTATTGTTCCCATAGGGAAATTAAATAATGTTTTGTATATGATAGGCTCTACAGTTTTTCCAGGTAGGGAAGCATGTGATGGGTCTATAAATTCCCTTTAGTCTTTCATATTTCTATGCATGGGAGAAATCCAAATCCTAATAATACCACCTAAGAGTGTAGTGTCAGACTTATTTAGAATAACTGAATGAATCAATAACAATGGATAAAAAGCCAAAAAAATAATTTCTAAAGAAAATTTTCTAATTTTATAGCTTCATATTTGGTTGTAATTTTTTTTGTTCAGCCTGAAGATGGTGCCAATTTCCTATTATTAAAAGTTTGTGAATCTCTCTCCAGATCTGTGGCTGCATCATCTTAGGTATTTCCATCTACCTAAAGGTCACTAAGGAAAAAAACGAGGTGAGAATTTTTTTTTTTTTTTTTAAAGTAATCATTGAATACTCTGCCATTGTCATAGTCACTCATGTTTCTACACAGCTTTCAGATGAATCGGTTCCTGGTGTGGACCTCCTCATTGCTGTGGGGGTCATCATCATGGTACTGGGGTTCCTGGGCTGCTGTGGTGCCATCAAAGAGAACCGCTGCATGCTTCTCCTGGTTTGTGCCTGCCTCGTTAATTTGAATAACATTTGTTTATGTCAAATACAAGACAATGCAAGTTTTAGAAAACTGAATGAGTAAAATATATAGTGCAAGGAAAACGATTTTTGATTTTTAGCTTTTTGCAACTGCAGCAAAACTATTACTAGCTCTTATTCATTTTGATTTACTATATATACTATTTATATTACAAATGTATTCAATACATTCTTCAAACAATGTTCATATCTCAAATTTATCCTATAAACACAGTGCATTATGTATACTATTCTACTTTTGCAATCAAAAGAAAATAGTGTTTTTATTTGTCAGTTTATTTTTCACACCAGATCTTGTAAGATTTTATATTTAAAAATCTTCCTGATACATTTATTTAATATTACTAGTATTTAAATATTAGTTATGTAGGTGATACAATGATATAGTAATTTTACCTTCCTTTGAGAGATACTTACTCTCCGTGTTCTTCTTCAGTTCTTCATTTTCCTCCTCCTGATTTTCCTGCTTTTGGTGGCAGCAGGCATTCTGGGAGCTATCGGAGAAAACAAGGTAAAGTGTGACATGGTATTATAGATTTATTATTATTTATAAAATCTGTGTGAGTTGTATTCTAATTTGTAATTGTTATTTCTTTAGGTCAAGGATTGGATTAAGGAGCGCATGAATAAGTACCTTCCTCTGTCTAGCCAACCACAAAATGTTGTTGACGACCTCTATAAGATGCAGGAAAAGGTAATGTTTGCCCTTAACTTTTAAAACAATTCAGTTAAATGCTATATCAACTTGGTTCAATATATGAAAACTGGAACAATATATTCTGGCAGTTCATATATATATATATATATATATATATATATATATATATATATATATATATATATATATATCAAGCTTTATTTTAATTGTTGATTGATTGAGAGATAGCATTTATATGGCACCTTTCAAGATACCCAAAGCACTTTACAGTTCATTATTCAATCACTCCACACTCAGTGGTGGTAAGCTACTACTGTAGCCACAGCTGCCCTGGGGCAGACTGACAGAAGCGAGGCTGCCAATCTGCACCATCAGCCCCTCCAACTACCACCATCACTCACACTCACACCACCTTCATACTAGGCAATGTGGGTGAAGTGTCTTGCCTAAGGACACAATGACAGTTTTTTGCCACTAGCGCCCCACTGTGGCACCTGGAATTCCTAGCGGTCTCCCATCCAAGTACTACCCAGGCCCAGCCTGCTTAGCTTCTGAGATCTGACGGGATCAGGCTTTTACAAGCCGGCATGGCCACATGTGTTGCATAAAAATAACATTGTTTCAATATTTATTGCAATGTATCACACATCAATTTTTTTTTATCATGACAGACTGACAGACAGATTGCACAAAAACTCCATGAATGCCTGGGTGAGTTCTAACTCCCACTGTCTGTTTTCTCAGCTCAAATGCTGCGGTTTGGTCAAAGGACCTGGTGACTGGACCAACATTCCCCCATCATGCAAATGCTCCTCAACTGACACTACGGCCGACCCCTCCTGTGGTTCTGGCGGTGTCTACCAGACGGTAACAGAGTGGAATTAATGAGATAAATTTAGATATTTTTTTTTGAAAATTCAAGAGAAAAAAAGACACACAAATCTCAAAGGTCTAACTGAATTGTTCTGTTTAGACATGCACTGACCGACTGATTGAGCAGATGGAGAAAAGCATGACAGTCGTGTTGGGAGTCGCATTTGCCATTGCCATTATCCTGGTCAGTAAACATTATAATTCATGAGTTTTGGACGGATATATGTTTAAATGTTCATATCAAATGTTTATATATCAAATTTTATGTATATTGATGTTTTTGTGCCTTCAGATCTTTGGTATGGTCATATCCATGATCCTCTATTGCCAGATTGGAAGGAAAGACAGCGCCACCACCACTGCATAAACATTCTCCAAAGTTTCCATCTTACTCAGAGTGTTATTTTTCAGAATGACAACATTGAATCAAATGCTATAGTAATAATACTAAAATCTATTGAAGAAAAAGAGGGGCATTGTGATAAATGCATTAAAATTGTTATATTTGTAATCTATCTAATTTTATCTTGTGGCAGTGACTACTGTATATTTTTATTTGCTGAAAACGTGTATCTCAAATCTTTAAGTATGATAGTATGATGACTTTGAGTATGATATGTGTAAAATGAGTTGACATTTACTTGTGTTACTGAACAGTGGTTTGAGTCTTTTCCAGCTGTCCAAATACAATAAAAGATGAAGGGGAAGTTGGCTTTTGCTGCCACCGCTATCTATTCTACATGTAAAAACATCATTAAAGACTTCCTTGTCACCACTGGAAACATAAACTTAGATTTTTCAACGGAAGTGGAGGTGTGTTGTTAACTGACATTATTAGCCCATTATAATTGTTCAGTGTTTTTTTTTTTTTTTCAATTATTGGAGCTAAAGTTTGTAACATTTAAAAGTGGAGTTTTGTCAGCATGGTCCTTTCTGTGAAGTTTACATGTTTCTCCCCATATCTGGGTACTCTGCTTTCCCCCATTAACCCTAAACATGTAAAATAAGAAAATAATAATAGTAAATCTTTCATTATAAAGCACTTTTAAAAACAAGGTTTACAAAGTGATGTACAAGCAGCAATGAACAGTACAAAAAGCATAAAAATGGCATACAGAAAGCATACAAAAACAGATGATACAAACAATCCAATTAATTATAATAAATAAAAAGAAATAGAAAATAGAACCCTGTGGCACACCACAGGTAAAGGGGGCAGAGGAGGAGGTAAAATTGCATATAGTGACCACAAAGGTTCTGTCTAAAAGATAGGAATAAAACCATTCAAAGGCAGTGTCTGGTTCATTAAAATCACATGGTCAGCAGTGTCAAAAGCTGCACTTAAATCTAAAAGAATTAAAATTGAGCACTCTCCTCTGTCTGCGGCTACAAGAAGATCATTTGAGACTTTGAGGAGGGCTGTTTCAGTGCTCTGTGATGCTTTAAAACCTGATTGAAATTTCTCAAAGATGTGATTTCTATTCATAAAATCTAAAAGCTGGTTAAAAATGACTTTTTGTAAGACTTTGGAATAAAAATGGAAGCTCTGAAATTAGTCTGAAATTGTTAAAATCAGAGGTGCTCAAATTAGGTTTCTTAAAACTCTTGGATTTGACTTGGTTTTTACTAATGGTGTTGAAATAAAATATGGTCCTTCTTTGACTGCTTGTTGATAGTTTTTTAAACTCTCTTTCTATGAGAGTTAGAGCACATTCAGATTGGTCTTTTTTGTCTGCAAATTGTTTTTAGATTATGTGTGTTTTCATTGAGCCATGGTTGGGCCGGTCCATTTGGATTTCATTATTTAAAAGGTGCAATAGAATCTAAGATCGAATTAGTGGTTTGATAAAAGTAGTCCTCCAGGGTAACATTTGGGTTTAAAGTCAAAAAAGCTGAGGTAAAAAACTGAGAAAAATTTAGAGCAGTTAAAAATAAGTGAATAAAAAGATGGGCCATGATTAAGAGACCGGGGAGCTAAAACAACATCAAATAAAAGTGGTTTGTGAAAAGTCCTCAAGATAAGGTCCTGACCAAGTCCTAACTAAGCTCAAGATCTAAAGATGAGTCAGTGGGCGCTGCAGTTTGCCCCAGCAGCATTGATGGATGGGTCAAATTCACACATTATCCAGAGGGCCAATAATCTGAACCTTTAAGATCCTATCTATGTTATGCATAATTCACTCTTATGAGGGTTTAAGCCTCGCAACCTCCTTCAAAAACATACCTGGAGTTGTGTTTTGTTTCATTCATATTTATTGTTAAAACGTCTACATCTCCAAAATCAAAATGCTCTGTTCCACTTTCTTTGTGATGTCATGTAGTTGTAGTTTTCAAGTTAACAGCTCCCTTTACCTTTAGTTCAATAGAGATTTACAGTTCCAGGCCTGAAACTGTCGAAATGATTCTAGTGAAGGTGTATGGAGTTTAAAAACACAGTGGAGCACTTCCTGTATTACTACATGACATCACAAGGTGGAGTGTTTTCTGCTTGAGAGAAGAACATATCCTAAATATGCAGGGTTTCTGTGTTAAATATGTGTGAATGAAAAAAAAAAAAACTCCAGGTCTGTTTGTGATGAGGAAACAACATTATAACATCATAAAATATCATAATACGAGTGCTATAACCTTACACATTAGACATATATCATATTATCATCCAGGTTTCTCTTACGGCTAGCCATGGATACTTCTCTAAACAATAGGAGGATAAAATGTACCAGGAGTTCAGACTGCAGCAGCTGCCCTGTGTCTGTCTGTCACTGTTCATCATCACTGTTATTGTGCGCTCTACAGTTATTTATAAGCAGCAGAAACATTTTCAAGTGTGCACTGAGCCACCCGCCAACTCAACGGAAGCCTATGCTATTATAAACCGATATTTAACAGCACATAACGTAAAGTGAATCCAAAAGGTTATGTTTAAGTCAAGTCTTTTAAATGATTGTTCTGTTATAACAGTGATCAGAGATGTTTTCAAACCACTGTCCAACTTTACAGCATGCAGAAACAAACGTCAACACATGATGGGGATGTTCCATGCACACAGGTTAAATGGGTGAGACCCTATACATGAATATCGATGGGTGGGGCTACCTGAACTAGTCAGGTTTTTGGGCCTCATTTTCTGTGACCCTACTTTCTGACTGACATTGTTGTAAATGTCCTGCAAAATAAGTAAATAAATACATAAATAAATAAATAATACAAATAAATATCAGGGATTTTTTTTTTTATATATAAATATAAATTGAAAACTTGTTCTAAGGTAATCTATAACACATTCGGTCAGAGGCCTGGGAGTAAAGGGTACTTGTTTACTGAGGCCCAGAGTGGGAAAGGTCCCTCACAAAGACTTTGAAATGCATTATTATTGATACACGTCTACTAGCTCAATTCCTACAAAAGTTCCCTGTTATGAAAACATTGGGAAAGAAATAGGAACCTACAACAGGAAAAGAAAGACATGATGGATCATTACACCATTGTCAGAGAAACCACTTTCTACAGAGAGAAACTAAGTTTTGCTATTGGCAGTTTTTTTGTTGTTGTTTATTTTGAACTTGCATAAAAAAGCAGCAGTATCAAGACAGAACAAAAAGCTTCAGTAAACCAACCAATAATGAAAATCTGTAATCCTTACAAACAAGGAATTATATACATGCTAGAAAAAGGAGTGTTTTTGATTACATTTAAAATGTGACTTGATGACGGAAACATACTAACAAATACATTCTTTCTGTGACACCTGCTTTGGTAAAACTCATACACTGGAGGAGGAATAGGAAGTTGCTTTAGAAATCAAGGACTTCTTTCGCATGAACACATATTATATATTATTAAATCACTACTTAGCATTTTTTTCTTCAATCACACATTTCCTCTGCTTCCTGTTGTTTTTGCTACCCTCCCTTCCTCCTGATAATCACATCTAACCCTAAATGACCCCTACTCCTTCATTCTCATCCCTCTCTCCTTCTCCATATGTCTTCCGCCATCCTCACATCTCCGCTCCTCTGCACTCTCTCCTCAGCTGATTCTCCAAACTTGGTCATGTTCTTGGTTCTTAGGCAAACATAGTGCTTTAAACAGCATCACTCACACACATGCACGCAGAGACCGGGCTGATCTGTGTGTTTCTATTTCAGCCCGTCTCTCTCAGGCACTGGTCATGGCTCGCTGCAGGAGCTACTTACGAGGACTGGATATCTGCGTCACTGTTTTACTCTTGGTGAGCACACTACCTTAATTGCATTTTTGTGTTGACCACTGTGGGAAAGATCAAAATGTTATGAAATATTCGATTTTATTTCTTTAACAGTTTAATTTTCTTTACATGTAGTCACAACAATTTTGAACCATGTTGTATTTGTGGGTGTTTTTGTTGCCTGAAATGTTCCACAGTATGACATTAAACCCTCTTTCATTTGTTACATTTTTCTATTCTATTTTTGCTATGAGTTGACCCTTCTCTCCACAGATCTGAGTTCTGAGTTGTAACTTGACCTATTAGAACCTCTTACTTGTTTCCATTGTGATAGATATGTTTAATGCCCAAACATTACAGGCAAAGCAATGACATAAGGTGGCAGACCCTCCACCAGAAAAGTTACATCGTGCTCCTTTAATTGCAAGTCAAGAAAACATGCCAGCTTTGTCAAATTGTTTCACACATTCTACAAGTGATGTGTTAAATGTAGGCTTAATTAGAGGTATAACATTTCTTACAACAATAATCATAAACAGTTGCTGATTTTTGTTTCCCTTACTAACATCTCGCAAGAGTATGGCTAAAGCTTGACAAAAGTAATTCAGTTCTCCTGTCAGCAGTTACATGATGACAATGTCAAGAGTGTGCAGGCATACCTTAACCTATTTGTGGAACAATATGTCATTCGGATCTTGGATACTTCTGTGGAAAATGCCATCAGTGGAGGAGGAATGTAGATATACACTGTATATACTTCTATAACAAGGTATGTTATAGAAGTGTTTCCCTACCAAAGACTTTTAGATATTTACTGAAAAGATAACAAATATCAACAACATTAATACTGCTTAATCATTCATTGTCACATGTGATGAAGAACTAATTTGACATTAAACTGTTTAATATACTCTCCTCTTCAGGTGTCAGGAATGCTGATGATCACTGTGGGCTTCACCTCCATTGATGGTAACAAACCTGTAGCAAAGGTAAACCAATCTCATACACAATATTAAACAAAATAACTACAAACATGATACAAAATGTTAATTAAAAAGTCCAAAAACTCAGCAAAATCATTTGAAATAAAACACACAATTTCCAAAGTCACCATTTCATAAGCTCAATCTCTTTAAGAAAAAATAAATAGATAAAGAAACAAACAAACAAAACAGTGTACAGCTTTGTCAGAGTTGCACTGTATAGATCCACATCTGCTTGTCATGGATATGTTATTTTGTTGTTATTGGTTTGGAGCAGGCTTTCTGCGCCATAGAACTGACCTATAACTTCTGTTATAACTGTTGAATCTCCTGTTTGTTTTCATGGAGATAAAGTTTAATGCTATACTTTGAAACATATCAGGCAAAGCAATAACATCTTCATGGAGACAATAACACTTCATGTAAAAGTTACATAGTGCATCTAAATAAACTGATGAGTCAACATTTACATTGCTGCATTATAACTTTGTGTGTGTGTCTCTGCAGTTGTTGGACCAGTTGTCCAGCAGTGATGGTCTGCTGGTGCTGCAGGTGCTGGGCCCCATCACAGTGGTCCTGTCCCTCTTGGGTCTGTGTGCCGCCTCTTTGGACATCAAACCTCTGCTTCTTCTGGTAGCACATATACGCACTTATATGCACATTGCTTAAAGGAAAGTGAGAAATGTCCTTCAAATAACCAGTCTCTGCTCTCCAGTTCTCTGCTCTCATCTTAGTGGAGTTTGTGGCTCTGATAGTGGTCGCCTCACCTCTCATACAGATACAAGCCCAGGTAAACGTTTTTACAACTTAAAGCTATTCAGTCAACATTACTGCACTTAAAAATATTAGATTTTTCACATTGGTTTAGTCATTGTTATGTAGGAGTTGGTTGCAGAGTATTTTAAATTAGACATACAATGTGAGATATAATGCTATCGCCAAATTTGATCTGATTTCGATTTTGCTTTCATTCCAGTGTAGGCTATCTCTGTACTGTGCTTTTATACCTTTATTTTCTACCCAATATTACCAGCAGAGGGAGACAAATACCTAATCTATAATTTGTAAAAATTACAGTGACAGTAATCAGAGCCCCTGAAGGAGATATTCTGTACTTCTAGCCTACACTCTAAAACTCATAATTTAGTTTTTATATTTTATATTTTACTTCATCCATCATTCATTCACTGAATCACTCACTGAATAAGTCTTTCTACTTCTTCTTTATTTGTACTTATACTACTTATTATTCATCTCTGATAAATGGGACATGATCAACAAGTCTCAAAGTATAGCCTATATTTTATGCGTCAAATGATGTATTTGTGCAGATGGACAGTGCAGTGGAGGATGTGTTTTTGAATGTTACCCCACTCCACAAAGCAGAAACATATATCAAACAGGAGCTGAGCAAACTGCAGGCATCTGTAAGTAAGACCTAAGTGATTCTGCATCGTAGCAATGTTTTAAAGTCGCATAAAGGGAGAGGGCTTGTTCACAGGAATCTTGCTGTGGCCTCAGGAGTTTTGAGGACTGGGAAGATCAACCTCCAGCGTCCTGTCTTTGCACACCTCCCACTCCTTTCACATCAAGTTTAAGGTAAACATAGTTCCTTTAACTAACTTAAACAGCAGACTTAGATTAAATAAGTATAGCCATGCATTGTTGTTATTGGTGGAATCAGTAAACATGCTTCAACTGGTCCTGTATAAAATTACAGTTAGTCATTACAGGTCCCAAGGTACACACTTTGTCTGGATAAAAAGAAAGGCAACTGCCACAAAACCAATGCCACTATCAATGTTATGGATGCCAATTGAATTTTGAGTGTATCTCCATGTGTGGGGGTATTTATAATATTGCTAGGACTAAAATATGTATAAACACTAACTTGAAAAATAAAAAGCAGACAAAAGGGCACATAAATCAGATCCCCATGACATAAATCCTTTATTAGTTCAACAACATTGTTTATAGATATGGGCTTAAAAATGTTAAAGGCTAGAGCAGGGGTCGGCAACCCAAAATGTTCAAAGAGCCATATTGGCCCAAAAAAACAACCATACTTGCCTGGAGCCGCAAAAAATTAAAAGCCTTATATAAGCCTAATATGAAGGCAACATATACAGCACAGACTCTCACAGAGTTAATTTTAACATTTTCTCAGAGTCTACATGAGTCCAGTCTATTCTAGAGTTAATTTAACACTTTTGGAAATGTTAATTAAGTAACACTGGACCAAAGTTACTGTTTAACCCCAAAATCAAGAGTTAAATTAACATTTTGAGAGTAAAGGGTTAACACTTTGTAGAGTTATCCTGATTTAGCTAAACAACACACAGAGGTGTTTTATTTTTACACTTAACTTGAGTTAATTTAACATCCTGGAGAGTTGTAACTACACACTGTGAAGTGTAAATTACGGTACACTGTAAAAAACACATTCAGTGCATGTAAAGCCTTTATTTTCTTTAAAACACTGTAAAAGATGAAATTATGTACAAATCATTATCTGAAGACTCTTGGCATCACCGTTCAGCTGTTGTTCGACCTGAACAGTCCTCTGATGTGTTGGGCCTCCTTGAGAATAGTCAACAGGGCTGTCCGGTGGCTGAGGAGTCATTTGCCTTTTTTTTTTTCAGCCGCCATGAGATGTACCCTGATCCACTTGCAGCATCAGAAAGATGCTCCTAAAAGTAAAAAGGATGCCATACAACTTAATGTTGAATGTTAACACAATTTACATTGCTTAGAAAGCAAAATAGTTCTTACATAGCCTTTCTTGGCATATGGATCTTTGAGAGAAGGAAACGCCGTCACAATCCCAACGGTAGACTGTTCCTGGGTGGCCTTACAGGGGAACTTACTGAAACAGGAATTCAACTTATTAGAGACGTTAAGAATAATTTATTCAATTTTGTGAACAAACATAGAAACATACCCATGGTGCTGAATCATGTGAGAAACCAGTATATTAACATTGACATAAGCAAAGAGCTAAAAAACCATGGGTTATAGTAACGTCTTCTAGCAATTTCTTTGATAAAGAATTCAACCTATACAGTTATAATTGTAATTCTAATTAGTGAAGAAAATAAAAATATTGTCTATAGTTTAAATCAAATTGCACTTACCAAAAAAGAGCTGCATGTAAAAGTGAAAAATTCACTGTGTCTGTCTGGTTCAAACTGGTTCAAACTGGTTCAAACTGGTCTTCTGTGGTGGGAATTTAAAGTGGTGGGTGGGCGGTGCCGAGTTAACACTCGGGGAAGTTGAAATAACACTAGCAGAAGTTGAATTAACACTAGGGGAAGTTGAATTAACTTCAACCATATCAACTCTGGCAAATAACCCCAACTCTAACTCCCATTTAACTTTCAAATAGTTAAAATAACACTTTCTGTGTTAAAAACAACTCTGAAATATTTTACCCTGAAAGTTTAACTCTCCAGTTTTTGCTGTGTAGGCTGTCAGTATATTGGCTATATAAGCCTACTATTAAAATGACTAAGTAGACTACAAATACAAAATGAGCTTTCATGATTACACAAACCCCTTTTGCGACCCTCTCATACCCAGTGCGCCGTCTGTAGCCACTGAAATCAGGTGGTGTTTATTCCTTTGTCATTTAGGCCCTGTTTACACGTACATGGGTATTTTTAAAAACGGAGACATTTCCCTTCGTTTGTACACATCGTTTACACGCAAACGGTGAATTCGCCTCTGAAAACAAATCTTTCTAAAAAAGCGTGAATCCCGTTTGGTTCGTTATATGTTGTTCTGAGCGGTCCATCTCCGCACGTGTTTTTTTTTTTTTTTTTCGGGGAAAGCGCTTCTCAGGTGCAACACGTGTTTGCATTTGCAAACACAGCTGATGGATCAGATCCATGACCAGAGATGAACGAGGGTTTTACCCCTAAAGAAACCATATTAAAACAACAACCAAAAAAATAATTCCTTTTCCATTTTCACTCATTTTTGAAAAAGCTCCAGGGAGCCACTAGGGGAGTGCTAAAGAGCCGCATGCAGCTCTGGAGCCGCGGGTTGCCGACCCCTGGGCTAGAGTTTAGGTTAAGGTTAGACAAGAAGTGACTATGTAAGTCAGTGTAATGCCCCTAGGAAGCACGTGGAAATTTATTATGATAATAATGAATCATCAGTAATGATTTTTGTTTCTGTTTAGAAGCACAGATGTCCATAATACCAGCTCAGTGGACTGTATGTTAGCAGTAAGTGAGACCTATAGAGTACCACTTAAAACCTGGGTTCACTCCAAGGTAAGCACATTTTGCTCAAATCTGACTCCACGCTTACAGAATACTCAGTTTAAAGTGTACCATTTCATTTTTGTGGGAGAGAGTCTGCCACATATCTGTCTCCATTACATGCTATTACTTTGTCTGAAATGAAATATGGCATTAAATTATTAATGCAATTTGTACAATTATGAACAATTCTTCTTTTTTTCCTCAGCCCTGTGGCCCCATTCTAAAGAGCTATCTGAGCTTCCCCATCAAACTCCGAATAGGAATAATTTCTGCTGTAACCACCATCATAGTATGTAGCTCTTTCATGTACAAAAAGTGACTTTCACATCTTATGCTTATGTGATTTCAAAGTTGTATTGCAGCACTTATAGCCCTGCACACCGTGTAATCACAGGTACACAAAGTAGAACTAAAATGACATATCAGTCAAATCCACGCATCACTGAGTATAGACAAGACAACATACTGCAGGCCTGTATCATGCACCCCAGTGCAGGGATTTGAATACAACTTTGAATTTGAATAGATACTCTAGACCAGGGGTCGGCAACCCAAAATGTTCAAAGGGCCATATTGGCCCAAAAAAACAAAAACCATACTTGCCTGGAGCCGCAAAAAATTAAAAGCCTTATATAAGCCTAATATGAAGGCAACATATACAGCACAGACTCTCACAGAGTTAATTTTAACATTTTCTCAGAGTCTACATGAGTCCAGTCTATTCTAGAGTTAATTTAACACTTTTGGAAATGTTAATTAAGTAACACTGGACCAAAGTTACTGTTTAACCCCAAAATCAAGAGGGTTTTACCCCTAAAGAAACCATATTAAAACAACAACCAAAAAAATAATTCCTTTTCCATTTTCACTCATTTTTGAAAAAGCTCCAGGAAGCCACTAGGGGAGTGCTAAAGAGCCGCATGCAGCTCTGGAGCTGCGGGTTGCCGACCCCTGCTCTAGACTTTGGACATTTGGACTGCTAAGTAAATGTATGTCGATAATGTGTTTTAAACATTCATTCAGGTGTTAGGCGTAAAGATTCTATATATCTTATATGCAAAATTTATCTGTGTCAACTGGGGTCTCCTGGCCCTGTATGTTATAACAATATTACCATGTAGTCTTAAAGCCAATTTAGGGTCCAGCGTCAAATCGTCTGCGTCGACGCGTACCCCCTACGCACAGCCTCTGCGTCGACCGACGTGCACCTCAGAAATTTTCTAACTACGGGTCAAAACGACGCAGACGGCAGGGGAAGCGACGCAGACGATATTGGTCCTCCCTACCACCGCTCTGTATACATTTCCTGTCGGCTTTCCTTTCTTTCAGTATATATTGACAAATAATGTGTTTGATGAAGCTTTGCGCATGTGTTTACGTTTTACAGAAACAAAACTTAAAACCACATGGCTAACTTGCATAAACAAAGCGCTCATAAAACAGCTTGCTCCTGGTACGCGGTCAGCTTCTGTCGGACTTAAAAAGGACACGATTCAGTGGAATATGTATGTTCTTTCTGTGACAGAGGGATATTGTACTAATGATGAGTCTTTTCTGTGCTTTTATCATGTTAGTGATGATTCTTGTTAAACTTTTCAGAGATTATACGTCTGCGGGTCATAAATACAGATCGTATATATGAATGGACAGATATCGTAGCCCCCTAGCATATTGGCAGTGAATTACTTCGCGGTGCACAGACCTTGACGCAGATCCATAAATCAAAAAAACGACGGCGACAAGGCGACGGCAGCAGTGCGCGTTGAACTATACTTTACCCTTCCTGACATACATTAAGACTTTTATATACTTGTTCAGGCCCTAAATTGCACTGTGATTTTGTTTAGTATCAATACTTACTACTAGAGCCCGACCGATATGGATTTTGCATCACATTCTAGACACTCGTGATGGGTATTCCAGTTCTTTTTAGAGAACCGGCTCTTTTGGCTCGGCTCACTAAAAGCTGCTGGTTCTTTTGGTTCCCAAGCGGCTCTTCAGATTGTTTTGTTGCAAGCAGGTCTAAAGCACGTCTAAAGCAGGACTGAATCAGGACTGAACCAGGTCTAAACCAGGACTGAAAAAGGACTAAACCGGGACTTATTTATTTTATGCTAAACTACAGCCAAATATGCTCCTTTTTTTATCCTACGTACACGCAAATTTCTCAAAGTTTCGTTTTCAGCCGCTGCTGCTGTCAAACTACCACGAGTCTGCATGCGGCGTGAAGAGAAAAAAAGTGAGAGAAAGAGAAAACACAGCTCCCAGTAAGGATCAGGCTCCTGTCGTTCGCTTCAAAGAGTCGGCTCTAAGAGTCATTTCGTTCGCGACTGACCCATAACTAGTAAAGAAACAATCGCTATTAGCCTTTAGCTGTAAATGCTGCACGCCGCGGTAATTAATTATTTGAGCCCGACCGATATGGATTTTGCTGTGGCCGATATGAAACCGATATAATGGGAGTTGGAGCTGCCGATAGCCGATATAATCGCCGATATATTTAGTGATGTAAAAATTCACTGTAAATGTTGAATTGTTTAAAAAACTTAGGTTTGGCTCTGATGGATTTTAAATTGGGTTTATTTAGGCAACATTTATTGTTATTCTGCCTCTTTACATCATATTTACAGACAGTAGGTTGACTTAATGGCATTTTTGCATCACATTCTAGACACTAATGATGGGTATTCCAGTTCTTTTTAGAGAACCGGCTCGTTTGGCTCGGCTCACTAAAAGCTGCTGATTCTTTTGGCTCCCAAGCGGCTCTTCAGATTGTTTTGTTGCAAGCAGGTCTAAAGCAGGTCTAAAGCAGGACTGAATCAGGACTGAACCAGGTCTAAACCAGGACTGAAAAAGGTCTAAACCAGGACTTATTTATTTTATGCTAAACTACAGCCAAATATGCTCGTTTTTTGTTTTTTTTTATCCTATGTACACGCAAATTTCTCAAAATTTCGTTTTCAGCCGCTGTCAAACCACGAGTCTGCACGCGGCGTGAACAGAAAAAAAGTGAGAGAAAGAGAAAACACGGCTCCCAATATGGATCAGGCTCCCGTCGTTCGCTTCAAAGAGCCGGCTCGAAGAGTCATTTCGTTCGCGACGGACCCATAACTAGTAAAGAAACTAGCGCTATTAGCCTTTAGCCGTAAATGCTGCGTGCCGCGGTAATTAATGATATGCGCAAATGTCATAATTCACACGTCTATTTACATATCAGTGCTGGTCCAGTAACAAATATACGGCCAATGTAGTCACTTTACAATAGACCAATAGAAAACAGACTGTTTATGTGTGGGAGCTACAGCAGCTAACCCATAACGAATGACTAAAACTAGCTTCAAAGTCGACATATTTCCAACACTCACCGCTCACACAGGCTCCTCCTCACATCACAAGTCTGCACTAATAAATGTCCTTTTAATTCAGACTCAAACCGATTGTCCGTAAAAAGAATACAATCTCAATGTTTGGATCTGTGTCTGCGGATGTAAACAAACGCACGTGAGTGACGCGACTCTGTGGTGTGTTCAGGGACAATACGGACACACCCACGGATAAATGACTCCGTAGATAAATACTGATGTGGAGCCACATATTAGGACATTTATCTGTCTGAAAATTGGATTAAATGAACATAATGTAGAGAGTCTAAGATTTTTTACAACGTATCACATGCCCACGTGAAATATCGGCCCCTATCAGCAAGCATATCGGCCGATAGCCGATATGCCCATATCAGCCGATAATATCGGCCAACCGATATATCGGTCGGGCTCTATTAATTATATGCGCAAATGTCATAATTCACACGTCTATTCACAGCTCATTTACATATCAGTGCAGGTCCAGTAACAAATATACGGCCAATACAGTCACTTTACAATATGCCAATAGAAAACAGACTGTTTATGTGTGGGAGCTACAGCAGCTAACCCATAACGAATGACTAAAACTAGCTTCAAAGTCGACATATTTCCAACACTCACCGCTCACACAGGCTCCTCCTCACATCACAAGTCTGCACTAATAAATGTCCTTTTAATCCAGACTCAAACCGATTGTCCGTAAAAAGAATATAATCTCAGTGTTGCGCACCGCTGCGGATGTAAACAAACGCACGTGAATGACGCGACTCTGTGGTGTGTTCAGGGACAGTATGGACACACACAGACAAATGACTCCGTAGATAAATACTGATGCAGAGCCAAATATTAGGACATTTATCTGTCTGTAAATTGTATTAAATTAACAGAATGTAGAGAGTCTAAGATTTTTAACGATGTATCACATGCCCACGTGAAATATCGGCCCCTATCAGCAAGCATATCGGCCGATAGCCGATATGCCCCCAGGTGCCCATATCAGCCGATAATATCGGCCAACCGATATATCGGTCGAGCTCTACTTACTACTACTTTTGTTACCACAAAAATAAACAAGAAATTAAATTTGTCAACTGGATTTGGTCAAATACATTTCGCAGCTCATCCAAACTGCTTCTTCAGTTCTGGTAAAAATTCTGGTCGACACTTCCTTATATCTGGCTGAAGGGAGGAGCTAACTACAATGGAACTACTCTGCAACTAACACATTTATGTATTTAAACAAATTTCCAGCAGTTGTCAGATTTGATCAGGTGACAGTTTAGTTCTCTCTTCTAGCTTGTTATCCTGCAGTAGTCTCCTTCTTGCTGCCTCCATCGCTACTGATGTAGGAACACAAGGGAAAAGAGAGGTCACATCAAAGGAAACCATTGTCTGACCCAGGTCAAACTGGAGATGTTTGATTTTGTTCACAAATTCAGCTGTGTTCTCAATATAGTGCACTGCGTTATCCACCAATGGGGCCAGAATGGTCTTCAGGTGTTTGGCCACATTGTAAGTGATGGAGTCTGTGCTACAAACAATGGGTCTAAGTGGTAGTACTCCTTGTCTGTGATTCTTTGGGAAGCCATAGATGCACGGAACAGAGTCACCAGGATACAGTCTATAATACATCTGTCGATCAATGACTTCTTACTTCTCCAGCTTCTACAAGCAGTCAATGATTCAATATTTTTGTACCCATTGGTGGGGTCTTGTTTTAGTAATTCGTAGATAGCAGTGTCACTCAGCAAGCTGTTGACTTTAGCCTCATAATCAACTGCATTCAGAGTCATTGTGCATCTCCCTTTGTCTGCTGGCAGGATGTTGATGCTGTGGTCTTTCTCGAGAGCAATAATCGTACCTTCATTTCCTCTGGTGTTACATTAGAGGGTGGAGGTTTGTCATTGTTTAGTGGAAATGTAGC